GCGTTTGGACTTTATTAAACTCATTTATAATCATGACCAAATGAGTTTTTACAGATGCCCCAGATGTATTTGAAATTTCACAATTTCCATTTCACACCCTCAGTTCGGGTTCAAATCACTTTTTTGCTTAGTCAGCCATCATCTTTGTGGGCGCTTATCTTTCCCTTTGGAGGTGTGAACAGAACCTTAGTTTGTGAGTTTGCTGTTGTTCGTTGCTGCTTCGGACTGAAAGGCCCTCCCCGTCTGCATGGGTGGTGCGGGTCAGTGTTACGGACTCAGAGTGGCATGCAGTTCGAGGGGAGAGGAGAGAACTATCTTGGGCCCGGTGTTCATGCTGGAGGCAGGCCTATGTCTGAGACGTGAGCCACCTGGGAGCCCAGGAAGCAAGTCCTGTTCCCCTAGAGCCGTGGTTCTCAACCTTCCTAATGCCGCGACCCTTTAATACAGTTCCTCATGTTGTGGTGACCCCCAATTTCATTGTTACAAATTGAACATAATTAAAGCATAGTGATTAATCACAAAAACAATATGTAATTATATATGTGTTTTCCGATGGTCTTAGGCGACCCCTGTGAAAGGGTCGTTCGACCCCCAAAGGGGTCGTGACCCACAGGTTGAGAACCATTGCCCTAGTGCCTTGCAGGTCTCTCACAAACCCCGAAAAGTCATCCCAGGCAAAAAGAAAAGACTTAAAAACAATGCAGTGAGAGTGATGTAAACTGTGGACTTGGATGATTACAATGTATCATCGTAGGTTCATCAGTTGTAACAAATGTACCCTCTGGTGATGGTGTTGACCAGGGGGCGGGCCGTGCATGTGTGGGGACAGGGCGTATACACGGGAAATCTCTGTACCTTCCATGCAATTTTCCTGCGAACCTTAAACTGCTCTTAAAAAAATAAAGTCTCTAAAAAAATATTGCAGTCTAGTCTGAGGGGCTTGATGAACCCTTGTGTTGAAGGCATGCGATGTATTTTTTTAGGGTCAAAATGCACACGGGTTTTGGTGTTCACACAGGAGCTCGTATTGCCAAGTCACGTGGCTCTATGCCCTTAGGGACGGATGTAAAAGGAAAGTTGGATTCTTCAGGTGATTTTGAAATCAGCACAAAAACACTGCAGGATCGGAGCTTAAAAATCAAACCTTAGGATGTTCCCTCAAACACATTGGCCTGATTTGTCATCACCTTACCTTTAAGGGATTTTTTTGTTTGTTTCCATAAAGCAGATGAGCCTTTATAATACAGTTACGGGGGCATTAAGACTTTATTACTGTGTGTGGGTAGTTGGTATCAGAAAAGTCTATTCCATTTCATCTGAGTTGAAGAATAAGGGATAGTGGAACTAAGTAAAAGGAAGGAGGCTGTTCAGCAACCACCTGTTGGCATATGTGTTGCCACCATGATCTGCCTTTTCCCACGAGTGTGGCTTCGGGGCCATCACCGGCCAGTGATGATCAGAGCTTCCCTGAACATTCTTTCTGCCCTCAGCCCCAGGCCCCGCGCTCTGCTGACTGCCTCACCCCCCAGACCACCTCCTCCTCTCCACCATCAGCCACAAATGTGGGCTTCCCCATGACTCGGCGGCTTTGAGTCCTCATTCACTGTGTTGCCTTCAGCTGTCAGCCACATAGATGCCTCCCAAACCCCTCCGCAGTCCCAAGCTGTCTTTACACCTCTACCTTGACCTTCCACTTGCTTGCCTGACACATCCACCTGGGAGGCCCACCAGCACATTCTCCTCCACTTGTCCAAACGGACCCCCTGTGTACACCACACAGAGGATCGTTTCTCCCGCAACCTGTGTCCTTCCTGTGGACCGTGTTCCCAGGCTGCCAGTCCCCAGGTCCAGGTCAATTCTTTCTTACCTCCTGGTCTCTTCCCTTCATTTCCCACAACCTACCAGACCTCCCTTTACATTTAGGGTTCTTTCTCTTGCAAGTACAGAAAAGTCAGGTCAACAATGCGCAAACAATGCAACGCATGTATGATATGATCTTACGTGTTGAGGACTATTGACTTCTGCCATATGTATGAAGGCATAGATAGATGTGAAGAAAATGACATTTTAAAGGGTGTCTGATGGTTCCCATACCTGAAAAGTCCGGAGGTGAGCGACGTGCCAATGCTGAGATCTGACTTCTCTCTCCTTACTCTTCTACTCTCTCAGTTTCACCCTCTTATGTCCATGATGGTGACAGCGTTGCCCAGGTGCCCTGGCTAATAACCTAGGGCCACCCTTGACTCCCCTTCCTTCACACCTCATATTTAATCCCTCAGCCCTTTTCTTCAAAATGTCTTGCAAATCCAACCAGGGAGAAACGCAGAAAAGGGAGCATCCGTCAGACTTGGTGACGTCAGAGAAAGGGAGTTGAGAAAAAGGTTAGCGATGATTCTCCCGGGGGAGGGGAGGAGAAACGGGGAGACCGGGGTTCCGTGGAGAGTTTGATGGGCGTGTGTACCAAATGCCTAGAGCCCGAATCTGCGTGCTGCCTGAAGAATGGCCCTCCTTAGACTGCGATAAAACACGTGGACTTGATTTGTTTTTATACAACTTGAACGTGGATCCCATGAGAAGACTGTTTTCACTGTTACAAATGTGAAACCAATAATTTTCTTTTAACGTGCAAATATAATATGAGCTCCGTTTTTCCTTACTTTCCCTACAAAGCCAAGAAACAGTTCACTCGCCTTAGAGACTTTCACTGTCATTGTGTTCGGATGTGCCGTTACCGTTCATCATCCCTTCCAGCTAAGCAAGATTTAATTAAAGCCATCTCACACGAAGGCAGCCATTTATGCCTCTAAAAAAGGAGCTCTCAGACGTTCAGCTGCCAGTCTCCTGTTCTAAGCAAAGTTGAACTATTAAATTTAGTAGGTTCTCTCCGGGGGTCAGGATTTGCTACGCAGTGGCTTTAACCCCAATAATTTGGGATAACGGGGAACTTTTATGCATACCGTGCCTCTGTTTATTCATGGGGGATCTGTTCCAAAACCTGCAGGGGATACCTGACACCTGGTAGCCCGGGACCCTGCATGATGGATGTGTTTTCTCCTGTACACACACGGCTGTGGTAAAGCTTCATTCACACATTAGGAATAGGAAGAGATGAACACAATAACGAAGGCCAGCTATACCAGCGCAGTCTAATGAAAGTTATGAGGATGTGGCCTCTCGCAAACTCTCTTACTGTCCTGCACCCATCCTCCCTCTATATCTTCCTTCAGATCATCCGTTCTGAACCCCAGGTCTTTGGACAGGCCTCCCTCAGGGTCTTTCTCCCTCAGGTAACCCGCGTGGAAATGGGTCTCTGGAAACACACGAGCCTTCTCTCCATGTCCCTATGGGCCTTCCAGGCACGTCTGGGTCCGAGACTTCCGTGGAAGGAGGGGGGCTCCTAGGCAGGTGGGAAGGAGTATTCTGGGGTCGGTGGTGGGGCTTTGTGCTGCCTGTAGATTATACTGTGCAGGGAGGGCCTGGTTCTTCTTAGGAAAAAAAAAGGGCGTGAGATTTGGGGGGCATATAGTAGAAATAGTGTTAGCTGGAGGCGTATGATCGTGCGGCTGGGTTAGTGGGGATAGAAAGGACAAATACAGGAAACAAACTGTCCCTCCAAAGGGATTTGATAAATATGGGTTTTCTTAACGAATGCCGAGCTGGATTAAGAAAAGGGGGAAAGAGAGATGAAAGACCCAGAATGTTTGAATGATTAAGTAGGGAATGAGAATGTTTCTCTTCCCTTTGAAACACTGTATCCATAAAACACGCCCGCAAGGCAGTAAAGCTCCTGCCAGCCTCTTCCTTTAGTAACTTCTGGCTCCAGTGCATGAAGGATGGCTTTGCGCCTGGGGAGAGGCAGCGGGTGAGACTGATTTGTGCATCACGGCGCTGCCTTATGACTCATCCTTAGAGTGTGGCCGTGGACATGCTTTCAGCAGGAACACGGTGGAAAGGCCCTGATCGAGGGCCGGTAGGAGCTGGCACATTGGGTGCTGCCCAGGCAGCGGAGGGTGGGGTCGGGGGAGGGGGGTTGGGAGGCTCCCTCCCACCTCCTTCTGCACCAATGTGCATGGCAGGCAGTGAATAAGAACCCCTCATCCAGGGCATCTCTGCTCTAAAGTGACGCTCTTTTAAGAGCTCTTCAATTGTCGTGTTCCTATAGGTGGTTCCCTCATAGGTTCAGCTCTGCCTCCTCAATGCCAGGCCTGCATTTTCTTTTTGTTAAATGTACTGTTACAATGCATTGGATTATGGCAACCCTAAAAGATAACTATTTAAAGAGAAAGCAATCCACCCTATCCTACTTCCCAGGCTCTGCATACCCATATCTTCACCCTCTGGGATTCATCCATCTCTCTTCTCTCCCCTCCCCTCCCCTCCTCTCTCCTCTCCTCTCCTCTCCTCTCCTCTCATCTGTGTGGCCAGCAGGCAGAAACAAGAAGGCGTGAGGGTGTTCCCCAGCCTTTCTTCATTGCAAAGGGCTGGTCCCCATAAACTGGGTTGTGTCTTCATGAGTGTCCCAGTTCAGAATTTTGCTCAGGAAGTTCTGTAGCCCACATTTGGGGGTATCCATGTATTATTTATAGTTATAAACGCTCTGTAGTTTATGTCACCTACAGGTTGTGACATTTATAAACATGTACATGAGTGTGAGTGTGTTGGTATAGAACAGTGCAAAGTAATTTAAATTTCAATCCTTGGTTTATACCTCGAGACACTGTGTGCCAGTGTCTCTGGCTCTCTTGTCCTCAACTGCAAACAGCGGGCATCGTGGTTTGGGAATCCTCAGCCGGGTCAGGGCTGGCGTCCTATGATTCTGTTTTCTGCGAGTCTCATCGATATCAAATGTGGCTGAGTCCTGAATGAAATGTCTGGTTGATGTCTGAGGTTCTGGCTGCACTGAAATTAAATGGACTCCTAGCAGTACGTAGCCCGTGTCGGACGCTTGTATATACTAAATCCAGGCTATTCTAACTCTCACTTTCTTTTCTCTCCCCCAGTTTGCTGTTTTGTGGTTCACAAGAGGTGCCATGAATTCGTTACTTTTTCTTGTCCGGGTGCGGACAAGGGACCCGACACCGATGTAAGTAACCTGGGAACTATTGCTCGATGTCCATGCGATTTCCAAGTTGAATGTTTTTAATGCCTGTACAGCTGTTGTGGGGGCCCATCCTCCTGATGGGAAGACTTACCAGTCAGTCTCGTGCTGTTTGCCTTGTGCTAATGAACAGATGTGCGGTCCTTCTGAGCCCAGTTTGGACCACGTGGGGATCGGAGGAGAATTTCGTCCTCCCCTCTGGGCAGCCACATGGACTAACTCCACCAAATGTATAGCAGTAGCTTCCCCCAACACAATGCGGTTTTTCCCGAAGATGCATTATACACATACAGTTTCCGTGAATCGCCCTTCCAGTTACTGATGGGCCTGTCATTGCTTTTGGCCCACGTAACACACTATTTCTGGTTCGCATCGTGAGAGCCTTGCTGCCTTTCATGACGGGTTACAAATGCTCCTGTTGATTTAAAGAAGTTCGCATCTGCCGGGGGTGAACCCGCCGTGGCGTTGATCTGCCTTGTGCGTCTGCCTGTCTCCACGGAGCACCTCTGCGGCAGCGTCTGTGCGCCCAAGACAGGATCAGCCGAGGAGAGCGGGGCATCAGAAACAGGGTGGGGCAAAGTAGGTTTGCAGTTGTTCGTGTGGAAAATAATGCAATAGTGAATAGATAACACGACAAGAATAAACTCTGTTTCGCATACAACTATAAGCCTCCTTTACGCCGCCCCCCCCCAGCCCCCCATATATGGAGCGGAAAGAGCCTTGGGCTGTTACACGGAAAGTAATATTGTAACTGAAGAAAACAGTGTTGCGTGGGAGGCCTGACCTGTAGGCCGTTCTACTCTGAATTGCCTTCCCGGGGTCACTGTAGTCACTGATGCTTACATTGCGTGCTCTAAGGGATTCTACCCGTGGCTTTGGTGTCCGCCAGGAAACTGATTTCCCCGGGGCACGTGCGGTGGGGGCAGGGCTGGGTTCTCCCCTTCCCAGAAGAAGGCGAGTTCATGGGCGCTCTGAGCAGCTCGGCATTGCATGTTTTAGTACATGTACTGAAGGGCCTTACCGTGAGCCCCTCAGCGTGTGGGAACCTGCTGCATTCGGTGAGGATGCGGGTGGAGGCACCACCGTCCCCGCAAGGACTCTCAGAACGTGGGAGCCAGAGGTGACCTCCGAGATGATCTTGTTGTATGTCCTCGTGGACCAGGACATGTTGAATGACTTGCCTTCATACAGAAAACTATGGAGTCTCACGGCCCTACCTTTCCCATGCTCCCCATCCATGCCCCCATTTGGGGCACTTTTTTATAAAATGGGTGCAAAATGAAGAGCAGCAGCTTTTCTGAAAGTTGGCCTGAGGCATCATGAGGTGGTCCTGTCACCTTCTTGCTCATTATTCTCAACTCCATCTCCCATTGCTCATTTGTCTCTGTCTCCTCTCATTTCAGCCCCATCAAGAATTGGGGTTTGGGGAGGGAGTGCAAGCTATAGGGCTCTACACAGCTTTTGCCTGACCCCCTTCCTCCTGCCCCTTCCTCCTGGACTCTTCATTCTTTTGGTTAAATACACCTTATTGAGAACTTAAAATGGGGGAAGATAGAGATTAAATTATCACTAATTAAAATAGGATACAGGTGCATCTACCTGAGGGTCCTACTCTAGGTAGTAAGAAGGCTTCCCCCAAGGAAATGGCGTTGAAGCCAAGCTCCCAGGATAAGTAGGAGATGGGCAGCAAAAGGGAGTGTGCATGCGTGCGTGCTAGGGCCTAAGGAGCCTTGCAGAATCCTGTTTCTGATAAAGGGAAGATCAAGTGGGAACTCCCTGAAGTGGGGAGGAGTTCCAGTACATGAAAGAACCCAAGCGGCTGGGCGTCAGATACCTGATTAGCATTTTGAACACACTCTTGGGAACAGTGGGGACCCAGGGAGAGGTTTTAACCTAGGAATGACAGGATCCTGTTTGCATCCTATGAAGGTGGCTCTGGTTGCCTGTAGAAGATGAGCGGGGTAGGAAGTGAGCTTGATGTGCAGGTGACAATGGGGAAGCATCTGTGGATGGAGAACCAGCACAGAGACCCTTGCTCTCAGGGCAAGAAGACAGAGCTTAGAGTTGGCGGAGGCAACAGGGAGGGACAAGTGAACCCACTCAGGATGCCGAATCAGCACTTCTTGGCCCTTGTGGGATCAGGCACATGAAGCTGTTGAAAAAGACTTCCGGGTTTCTGGCCCAAAGGGAGAGCCTATTTGGGGCCCATGGGTAAAGCCGATCAAGGGAATTACCTTGGACATGTTTTGTCTGAGAAATAGGACATCAAGAGGACAGTTGTGTGTGAGTGTAGGAGTGGAGGTGAGCAGTGGGGTGAGTCCTGAAGATGAAGATTTTTTTTTAAGCATCATCTGTGCGCCTTAAGAGAGGAAAGCTGCAAAGTGGCCTTTTCAGAGAATCATACCAATGTCAGTCCTGCTCTTAAAGCCATAATGTGCATACACACGCATGCACACACGCACGCACGCACACACACACACACACACACACACACACACTGCCACGAAGCAAAAGTAATATCTGTGAAGCTGGACACTGTGGAGGGCTGCACATCCGGAAAGCAAAATTGCTTTCTGTTCTTCACGACAGTCTTGAGAATTCTCTGCTCTCAAGTTCTTTTTGGTTTTCTTAGAAACGAATTGAATTAAAAAATAATAATAATACGTAAAGGCTGCTAAATTGTTTAAAATTCAACATTTCAAAGCTTCGTTTATAACAAAACTCAACACATTTAAAACAAATCTGGAAATAATTTTAATTAGCAAATCTATTTTCTCAAAGTGTGCTCTTACCTTTACTATGGAAATAAGACAGTTTTGTGAGCAAACCCAGTTACACCCAAAAGGTTTTTATACTCTTGAACTGACAAAGTAAAGCGAGACTTGTAAAAGGTGCAGGTGCTAAAAACGTGGCCTTTGCAGTGCAGCGGAGGGAGCTCAGGAGGGCCCTGGCGTGGGAACTGGGTGTTCTGTCCTCCCAGGTAGGTCACTACAAACCTCCCCAGGCCTCGCTTTGCTTTTCTTTTCTTTTAATAAATATGGAGGATGAACTTAGTGGTCTTTAAAGTTGTTCTCAGCCCTCAATTCCATTCCATCACTTAGTAGTTATTAAGGACTTCATGCTGTGAAGATGTGAAGGTGAAGACAGTTTCATTCCCGCCCTCCCAATACATTCTCTTATATCACAAGGATGAGCGAAGCAGGCAAATAATTATGATTGCATTTGGCCTGGCCGGCGTGGCTCAGTGGTTGAATGTCGACCTATGAACCAGGAGGTCACGTTTCCATTCTGGGTCAGAGCACATGCCCGGGTTGTGGGCTCAATGCCCAGTGGGGGGCATGCAGGAGTCAGCTGATCAATGATTCTTCTCTCTCATCATTGCTATTTCTCTCTCTCTCTCTCTCTTCCTCTCTCTGAAATCAATAAGGACATCCTTTAAAAGGAGTTTGAATTTGCTAGCTGCATACGTGGCGAAGAAATAAAATGCTCTTGAGTTGGAGGGAGAGAGAGCATCTAATGGGAGAATGAGAGTGCGGGAAGGCTTTCTGAAGGTGGTGACATGTTAAAATGGATTATAGTTCTTTTCAAAATTTTCTTTTACAAACAAACAGACCAGTGTTTTCGTGTTTCCCCTGCTTAAGGGAGTTACGTCTCTTGGCAAATGCTGTCGATCCAGTGGCACACAAACTCAGGTGACACATACAGGTTGTCCCCCAAAATGTATGTGCACTTTAGAAGCTGATGGCTCAATTTTGAAAATGAACTGCATTTTAATAAACACTGCCTTTATACTTGTTCAGGCTGTGTGTGTGTGTGCATTTTTTGCAAGAAGCCCTGTGGGAAGAACACCTGGGAGAGAAACCGCGAGAAACCGCAGTCCTCTGGGCTCCCCCCAGGGGCACCTCCACGGATGCCCTCGCCAGGTCCGGAAACCACCCCGGCGCTCGCCCACCAGCACCACTCCTCACGGGCTGCGGCGCCACGGGAAACCTTAAAAACAAGCTATTTCAGGGAAATAAGCCTAACAAAATCTCCTGTGCTAATTCCGTCCCCCGAGGGTGGGCTCTTGTATGCACCAGATTCGAAGCAGCAGAAGCATTTCCCACAAGGGGAAGGGACTCCTGCTACTTTTGCACCAAATTAATTTAGCTTGGAATTAAAAATAGCCCCAAAGACGTGCCCCCCTCGTCCGCTGCAGTGCTGACGATGCGCCTGGGGAGACAGCCGGGCAGTGGAGCGTCCCTTCACCCCCTCCCAAGTTTTAGCCGGTGAGAAGTGTGTGTGGTTGATGACAGGGGCTTCAGAGTTTAGCCAAAGGCCTGCTTTCACGGGACCCTGGGGGCTTTTCAGCTCAGTCCCACAGTTGAGGTTGTCACTGCGCAAACATCTTTGGAACTCCGCTCTTAGAATAGCAGGGAAGGCCAGGAGCACATTCTTTTCAAAACCTCCCTCTTGGCAAATTGTCAGCCTTTGAGAGCGTGGGGATTATTTGGGGAAACCAGCCAAAAGTCGGGCGGAGCCAGATCTGGAAAAGGGGCGTGAGTAGGTGGGCAGTGCTGTCTCGGGTCCAAGAGGAGGTCAGAGGATTTGGCAGGAAGTGATTTTTCTCGTGAAAGTTATGAACTGTCTCTGACATCAGGCTTGAAAGGGACTTTTGTGCATGAAGCGTGCAGAGCACACAGGAACCCTCCAGTAGCCTTCAGGCCCTTTCAGTTAATGCCTGTGTGTTTTCTTAAGTTGTTGCATTGCTTAATGATGACACGTGCGTCGTGGATGCTCCGTGAGCAGATCCTGTCTTTTCCCTTTAAAAGCAAAGAGCCCAGCCCATCGCCTGGCATAGAATGGACGCTGGAAACATATGGTTGAACCAAAGAGAACGAGCGGATGAAGGTCTGATAACCTAATTTGATCGCCCGCTGTTTTCATCTGGACTCCAGTTACTTAAGTAGTTTTCGCCGCACCTGAGATGTCACTGAACTGCCCCC